TTTTTTACTTTCATTTTCTACTTGTTCATGCAGGAAACTGAAGAGTACCTCATACAAGTAACCAATTAGGTTTATGACAAAACCTAGAAATCTATCACTAATCCAATTTGAGCACCTCTACAGGATAGACCTCAACAGGAAATTGAAGAGTAATGACAGCAAGTCACTGATTAAAAAGTAATAAAAATTGAGGATTGTAGTATATTTAATTGTCTAGTGATACTAAGTAGCATGCTATTTTCACTTTCCATGCTCTAAATGCTTTGAGTAAATATTCTTATTGATCTAAACGAAAATGATGAAATAGTAAGTAATTTTCCTGCTTTCATACACTTTAAATAGGTGTAGAGATATGTGAATAACTCTCTCATGTTTCTTTCCAGGACTATTCCAGAGCTGGAGTTGGTGGGAGATACTTCACTGATGTCAATTCTTAGGTGGAATTTCAAGAATAATATGGACAAGACAATGAGTGCTTCTGATAAGGGGCAGATTACTCTGGTTGGTTTCTTTGACAGAAATCATGTCTGCTAAAATATGTCGCATCAATTCTTTACTAGTCCTATGTATAGCATCCATCAGATAAAAGAAAGTAAAGGATCTTTTACCAAGTTGAGTTTGTCATGAAGCTATTAGTTAGCTGCCTGGGTTGGGTTGGTACCGTGTAAACATTTTGACAAGGTTATTAAGTTAATCGGAATTGAATGCATTCTCATGATCTCATCCCGACTTTAGTGAGTCAGACTAATGGAATGGAATGGTAAGAATGGATGGTATGGTTCTAGGTGCCTTGGAGCATGTTTGGCTTAGCTAATAGCTTTTTTGGGCAGTATCTGTGATACTGCTGAAAATTGAAATGGGCAGCTTCTTTTGTAGAAAGAGGAAATACCAAGCATGCTCTTGATTTCAAACTGGAATCTCTATCAGCTGTTGCATGATTGATAATCTAGAGTATGGCCCCGTTTTTTTTTTTTTTTCATTTTGTATTAACCCTCGTTTGGGCATGTATTACAATTAATTTTGAAACAGAATGGCATGACAGTGTGTAAACATTCCCATTGTTCATTAGCAAACTAGCATCAGTACATCAACTTTTATCCAGCCACATCTCTTATGCTAAAAGTTTTTTTTGACATGTAACTCACGTGCTTCTGTTTTATAGGTGAATGGGTGTGAATTTGCTTTAATATCATTTTTGGCCTTTGAAAATGAATTTAGGTCTCTCTCTCTCTCTCTCTCCCCCTCTCCCTCCCTCCCCCCCATTCAATAAAAATGCCACCCCCTACAAAGCACATTCAGTTGATAAATTTCTGAAAAGAAACTGCGATTATTTCAGGATTCCTGAGAATCTACCTTGTCTACATGACAAAGTCGTTGCAGCTGCAGCTGATGCTGCTGTTAGTTTCTCCCAGAGCCAAAAGAAGACACAGGTTAGAAATATTACATCACTCATGTTTTTTCTCAAATGTTAATGAATTTGTTCGTTCCCGTTTCCAGAGTACTATCCCTGGCTTAATTGGTACTATGATGAAGGGGTTGAAAGGGGAAAAGGTAGATTCAGGTTTGAATTGTGTTGAAGCTCGTGAAACTTTGATTGGCCATTTAGAGAGCATATTCTCAAGATTCCCATTCTCTGAACCAGACAATGCATATGACCTAGGAGACTTGGATCTTCACATAGGTGAGTCCTTAACTATGTCACCCCAAACCAGGGTATGGTATTCACTTCCTTGAGAAGAGACAATGAATGAAGTGCATGATATTTTGCTCCAATTGTTTGCTTCTTGTGTTACAGATGATATTGAAATAGATGAACCTGTTCCTACTGTATCATCATCTCTTATCGCTAATAATGACAGAAAAGGTAAAAGTTACTAATTTCTTTCTAATCATAGATTGTGTTTTTACCTTGATGGACCTGAACATTTTCTTCTGCTAATTTTTAGGAAAGGAAACTGAGAGGGAAATGTTATTAGATGGTGGTACCACAGATACTAAACCAAGGGTCCGGACGCGTGAAGAAATTATTGCTAAATATAGGAACACGGGGGTAACCTTTTCCTTTCAGATAGCCTGTGAATTACTTTGATTTATTATTGGGATTTTTCTGTCTGACCATGTCAATTGTTCTAGGATGCTTCCACTGCCGCTGCACAAGCAAAAGATAAACTTCTAGAACGCCAGGAGAAACTTGAGGTAAGCCCACTTGAAGAAAGTATTTATACACTTTTTGATGGATATGCATATATGGTAATTACTGAAGACCTCGAAGAATTAGTGGAAATCCGTTTCAGTATCTTAACTTCACTTGTGCAAGTTCAATGGCCGTGATTAGAAAAAATGGGTTAGGAGCAACTATACCACTAGCAGTTCAGTCCTGGGTGGGATTTGGGTCTGCAGGACATTTTATATCCTTTGATATGGTTCCATGGCGCTTACTAGTTGTCAAAGTCATTTGCATGGTTATCTTTCTTTTAGTCTTACTATTATTGCAAAAAGTTGCTAGTTACCGTTTCTTTGTGAAAATTCGCTATTTGTATCACTAAACAAACCAAACAAGAGAGGGAAAGAAATGAAAAATGTCTCATCTCTTCCATGCAACGGTGAAGTGAACTGTCTTGATCTAACCTTGGGTTGAGAGCAGCAAGAAATCCGTAAACCCTCTCTCTCTCTCAAGTAGTTCAGTAAGCTTCAATGCATCTCATGGAGACTACTTTGATTATCAACACGAGGAAGACTAGGCTATCTACATCTCTGTCAGCGAAAATTTTAAATGATGGAAGAGCCAAAATCAATGGTATTCATATTTGGTATTTTAACATTCCTCGTTTGGTGTTCTTATCCAGAAACTCAGCAGACGGACTGAAGAGCTACAGAGCGGTGCTGAAAACTTTTCCTCAATGGCGAATGAGCTCGCCAAGGCAATGGAAAAACGTAAATGGTGGAATATTTGACTGCAACAATGTAAATACTCATTTCGTATTTCTATAGATGTATAATCATATTTTTTAGTATTAAATCTTTATATTTCTGCACTCATGCTGATGTCAATGGCATTAATGTATTTTTGTTACATCAGCAAATAGAAGACGTTAACACATTTTTTGACGCCTCAAGATATTACACACTTGACATATTCCTGTTGAGATTTCTGCTAGTAACTCGAATTTAAAGTCGGACCGTCCACATTGTCTCTGCCTGTGAACAAAAAACATTTGACCACGAAGACCAAAGAAAAAAAAAATAATTATTAACGTTGACTAAATTGAAAATGGTGAATGATACTTGGCAGTTGGCATATAGTGTTCACAACATGGCCGGTAGGTTAGATGGCATTAATTGCATATTGTATTGTTCTGGGTTTGGTCGGCGTTCTTAAGGTTTTAAAAAAAAAAAATTGTCTTGAAAAGGGAGATAAAGAAAAAGTAAAATTACTTTTAAGTTCTTTTTATTTTTTTCTTCTTTCATTTGAGCATAAAAATAATTACATTTTTAAAATTTAAAAAAATTAACTTACTGCCGAAATGAAATAATTTACTTATTTTCATCCTTGGTAATAAAATAAATTATACATGTAAAATTACTTGTAAGGGAACTTTTGTACCTAATTCTTGTATAATAATTTGCGCAGTCTCTCTCAACTTGGACGGTAAAACGAAAAGCCCTCCTGGCCCCCACTTGACCATTTAGCAGCCACCCTTTGATTTTTTTGAGTCCAAAGTCTGAAGATGAAAATTGAGCTGACTAGATGAAAATATGTCCACACACGCTTCTGTCTTCCCCTAAGAAGTTGACACGTTTGGAAATGGACCAAAAAAAATAAAATAATTAATCATTGAAAATAAGTAAAAACATAAAATTCATTTTACTTGTGCATTTCCCAAATCCAATTGCAAGGTCCCACAAACAGTTGGCATCATAGAATATTCAAAGTCACAAATATTAAATTAATTACACACCCGGTCCTTATAATATTTATTTTGTTCCAAATTAGTCGCCACATTTTTTCAACGGCTACTAACTTCGATAGTTTGATTAACATGAAATCCATATGTATACTATAAAAGCCATTGTATACCAATGGGATGTTGTTCGCATGTCCATACAAGTGTTAAATCATGTTAATGACGAAAGCTTGAAACCTATTTTTCTTCGATGGGAGAAAAATGGAATTTAGGTTTTTGTGCCGTTCCATTATTTGCATCGTCGAGGTTTTCATGGCAATGTAATTACATCTCGTTAATGCACATACATAAGATTTTATGTTGATTTAACTAACAAATAAGCCAAATTGAAATTGTAAAGAAACATCAATGACTTGTTTGAAATAAAATAAAAATTAGAATTTTCAAACGGACCAAATATGGAAACAGAAAATAGCATTTAATAAAGAAATATTAATTAAGAACTAATAATAGAAAAAAAATGCTATTTATCATATTGATGATAAAACATTTGTGTCGACCCATTATCCCTCATATTTTATTCTCTTCTCTTTTACTATCTCGTAAAAATTAAATTGTTTAATTCTATCATTTCACATTCACATTCACATTCACGTCACGTAACTGATATTTCATCATTATAATTACATTATTCTATAAAAAATGCACCATATTATTGCATAAAAATCACGTTTTACCGCTTCTTTTAGTGGAGACACTAGTTGTTGGAATACGAAAGTGGGAAGAAAGAGACCACACGTAAACAAACAAATCAAAATTCGTAAGAAACCATATGCTATAAAGAACTGAAGCTTGAAGATCTTGACAAGCAACAAGAAACACAAGTTGGGGTTCTTGAAACTAAAACTTGAGGAGACAATCCATTGCGTTATCAACTTGCCCTATCCATATTCCAGCTAATATACATACATTCTTGCAGATACATACAGATATATCTGCTTATTTTTGTTGGGTAATTTTAGGTCCACAAATTTCTTCTCTCTCACAGCTGTGGGAAACTTTAAAAGCTGAAATCTTGGGTAGTTTGTGGATCCAATGGCCAGTTGGGTGCTCTCAGAATGTGGGCTCAAGCCACTTCCAAGAATCTATGCAAAACCAAGAACTGTCCAACCTTTCTTGAATTCTAACCCCTCCACCGTTAGAATTTCAAGAAAAAGTCGTGGAAATGGTTTTTCGTTTTCTTTGTCAAGTGGGTTTAGGGAGAGAAATTGGGGTTTGAAGGTGAGTGCACCATTGAGGATTCAGCCAGTGGAAGAAAATAAAGAAGAGGGAAAAATCCTCAATGGGGATGAATCTTTTGACCTTGGTGCTCCACCCCCATTTAAATTGACCGATATTAGAGCAGCAATTCCTAAACATTGTTGGGTTAAGGATCCTTGGAAGTCTATGTCCTATGTTGTTAGGGATGTTGTGGTAGTTTTTGGATTAGCAGCTGTGGCTGCTTATTTTAACAACTGGGTTGTTTGGCCTTTGTATTGGTTTGCTCAGGGGACTATGTTCTGGGCTCTTTTTGTTCTTGGTCATGACTGGTAATTTTTTTGCTTTAATTTTCGTTGTTGTTCACATATTGTGCCTAATGAATTAATTTATCGTGTTGAGAGTTAATTTTCTGTGTTTTGTCTTGTGCAGTGGGCATGGAAGTTTTTCAAATAATCCAAAGCTGAATAGTGTAGCAGGACATCTTCTTCATTCTTCAATTCTTGTCCCATACCATGGATGGTATGAGAATATTTTCTTCTAATTATGAGAAATCTCGAATATTAATAGAGCCGCATGAACCTGATGAATTTTGTTTGGTGAATGTTGTAGGAGAATTAGCCACAGGACTCATCATCAGAACCATGGCCACGTCGAGAATGATGAATCGTGGCATCCAGTAAGTCATTTATTAAATGCTTGTCTTCTTGATTTTATCATGTTGAAAAGCTAGAAAATGCAAGATTAATCTGTCTTCTCCAATGAAATTTCCAGTTATCTGAGAAGATTTACAAGAATTTGGATAATGTTACCAAGAAATTGAGGTTCACATTGCCTTTCCCCTTGCTTGCATACCCTATCTATCTGGTAAGCTGTTAATTAAGTCCTTCAATTTAATAAAACTTGTATCAATTAATTCCCTCATTATTGATCATATTCGCATATTTTACGACAGTGGAGTAGAAGCCCTGGGAAAACAGGCTCTCATTACCACCCAAACAGTGATTTGTTTGTTCCAAATGAGAGAAAAGATGTGATTACCTCAACAGCTTGTTGGACAGCTATGGTTGCAATTCTTGCAGGGTTATCTTTCATTATGGGTCCTGTTCAATTGCTCAAACTCTATGGCGTGCCATACTTGGTTAGCTGTTTTTACCTCTTGAAAGTTCAACTTACCAAACATGTTCCCATTGTTTGAAATTCCGACTTGCAGTCTCTGTGTTGAACTCGGAATTTGACTTTCAACTTTTTTGGTAAAACTTGGAATTTGAATTGACTGCAGATTTTCGTGATGTGGCTGGACTTAGTTACCTACTTACATCACCATGGCCATGATGAGAAACTTCCTTGGTACAGGGGAAAGGTATGATTTTGTATATATATCTTCGAATGCTATTTTTCCATGCTTACCTAATCTTATTTTTATATATTTCGTAATAAGGTTGCTTAATTATCTCATAAACTTATTGAAATAGGAATGGAGTTATCTTCGAGGGGGACTTACGACACTTGATCGTGACTATGGATGGGTCAATAACATCCATCATGACATAGGAACCCATGTCATACATCACCTCTTCCCGCAAATCCCACACTATCATTTAGTTGAAGCAGTAAGTTTCAACTTTGCTGAAACCCACAATTTATTTTGCATTTATTACTAAATTTACTTGTGATTCGGGTCATGATGGTTGCTAATTTTCTCGATGCAGACCGAAGCAGCTAAGCCGGTGCTAGGTAAGTACTATAGGGAGCCAAAGAAATCAGGGCCTCTTCCAATTTATTTGCTGGGAGTTCTTATAAGAAGCATGAGAAAGGATCACTATGTGAGTGACACTGGAGATATTGTATATTATCAAACTGATTCTCAGCTATAGAGATCTCAGAAACTAGCCAGAGAAGCCACCTTTAACACATTAAGTTTGACTATTTATATATGATTTATAAATTAGCCAAATGGAGGCTAAACAATTGATGCATATGTGACTCTTAACTCTCTGAGGTGGTCTACAACCAAAAATTGATGCTAGCATCCTAGTTTTCTGCTAAGAAGACTGATTATTCCTCCATTGACGGAGTTACATTTATAGATATTACTTATATACAGTTCACATGCTTATTTGTACTCGATGTAAACTAGCATTTTACCGGAGGAAGAAATATTGTTCTCAATAATCTCGTAGTATGTGCGTGTGTATACGTTAGTGCAAGCTATAGCATTTTCCTGCATGTCGCGACTACAGTAACTAGTGAGATCTGAGAGGGCTTAAATTCATGTTCTGTGATTCTAGAGTTGGGATGTGTTGTCTCTATGGCTGCCCTAAATCCTCTAACTACATTTTTAACACCTGTACACATCAATCTTCGCGACTTCTTAGCAAATGGGATCATGATCTCAAAAATGTATTGGAAGGATAGTCGAGAGGATAACAAGTGAGGACAAGTGAGGGACGAGAAATCTGGATTGACTCGTGATTCTGAGATGGTAAAAATCAACATTTTTGTGGTGGAACTGAAGAGCTGGGAAGGACCCATCTTTCAAGACAATGAAATGAAAAATAAGCAAATAGGATGGGTGGCAATGGTCCCATGATGATAGCTTAACAAGAAATGAAAATCAAAATGGACCATCAATGATGGTCCTCTTAGATATGAGAAATATACAATTTTCAAACGTCACGTTCATATATATATATATATATACACACACACACACACACTCAATCCACTACAAGCTAATATTGAATTTAGGGCCTGTTTGGCAAGATTTTTGTTTTTTTATAAAAAAAAAATTTATGAGAAAGTTACCTTAGGTAAACTTTTTTTAAAAGCTCTTTTAGTTGGACGGTCTTCCAAAAAATTGTCCAAACATGTACAAACACAACTTAGTCTCAATTTTTTACTTTATAAAAATCTTGCCAAACCGATCCTCAAGGCTTGATGATCGATATTTAGTCAACATAGTTTTCTTTTGATAGAGGTGCCAATTTCTACAACATCTAATGTTGTCGTAGACAAGTAAACACTTTAAACAACATGGCTATCGAATGAAAATAAGAAAGCATAAAAATTGCTTGATATAATTCACTAATAAGAATTTCATGTCTTCTTTTATTAACAGGAGAATGATTAAAAAGATTGGTTTGTTTGAGCCCCATTTTTTTGGAAAATAAATTTTGTAATAGTGATTTTTTGAAGAATATATAGTTAAAAAGTAGGAAATTTTTTTAAGTTTACGTGTAAAATTATTTTATCGATAGAACGTGTAGTTAAAAATGGGTTGGGAAAAATATGAGTTCTTATAAAAAATGTTGCTCACAAATTGTCGTGCTCCTGAAGAGCAAATGGAATGAAGAAAGCATGATAATGATCTAGCAGAATTCAGAACAAACACAACAGGCTACAATGTGGTTATTTTCCACGTTCTTCATGGTTTAGATGTATTTTATGGCATGATCAGTCAATAATGTACAGAATTCACAGTGCTCATGAAGGACATTATCCGAGATTTATCCTTCTGAATGCCATCTGGAGCACAAACGCCACTACTAACATCAACTCCATGAGGTTTAAGAGTAGAAAGGGCCTCGTACACATTCTCAGGCTTAATCCCTCCCGCCAACAACCATCCTTGTTTGCTTCTAACTGGCGGCAGCTTAAACCGGGACCAATTAAACCCTTCACCGCTGGAAGCATGCAAAAGGAAAAATTATTGTCATGACTGAATAAAACCAATGAGGAAGTTATTAATAAATTGCTCTACTATTTAAAACAAGAAAGTTACAGAAATGATCAACTAAAGCAAGGCATTTTGAGTCATTTCCATACTGATAAATTACCAAGTAAAACTTAATTTGTACCCTTCCATATTTGTCTGTCATAAAGACAAACGGGTGATGTCACGATATATCAACATCTAGACCGCTCCAAACATTTAGGCGTGCAAGTTCACAACGGATAATTTTATTTGAAATTGAAACTAAACATGCATCATCATTCATAGACTTGCAAAATCACACAAAAAAATAAAAAAAACTCACCCCCCAAGTGTTTGAAAATACAGCAACATTTATTATTGATATGTTCAACTGATTCTCACTTCTCAGCAATGATATATATTTTATCACTGACTGAAAAATAGAAATGAGTTATCTCATGCTAAAAATTAAAGTTGTAGTTATAGAATATAAAACAAATAAATTTCATATATAAAGAGGATGAGCGAGAACTTAAAAGTTTAAACTGCAATTGTTCGTATCAAGACAATCCTGTAACATTTGGGCTTCCTAATATGTCTACTTTGATCTATCATACGAAAATTGGGCTCTTATTTCAGCAAAGGGGTCCTAGTTGTGGCCAGAAATTTTGGCAAATAGGTTCAGTAAAATGAGCAACTCACACACAGTTTAACTAAGCCATTTACTACGACAAATGTTGTTTGATGATCACAAATTTATTGCCAGATCAAAATCAATGAGAAGAAAACTTGATGATGAGGCTGTGCAATTAATACAAATATTGTAAGATGTTTTTTACCTGCCACCTTTAGCACTATCCACAAGAACCCAATCAACTAGAGAACATTCTTCATCAGAAATAGAGTTCAAAAGATCTCCATCTTGATTGGAATGAAGAACATATATTACTCGGTTTTCTCTCACCAAGACTGGAAAAGCAGCACGAGAAGCACTTCCGTGAAGCTGCATGGGTTCAACATATTACTGGCTAAATAAAAGTTAAGTAGATTTCAGAATAAAGTAAATGCTGGTCCAACTTGCCTGTACATATTCAAGGTCTGCTTTATCAGAAGCTTTTAGTATTGTTTCTGCATCATCATCTACAAATACCCCAACAGGCTCTGCTCCGTATGATCTTGCCACTTTTGAAATTTCTTTCGCAACAGGAAGTGAAATAGAACGCTTCGAGTTGGGCCAAACAATCATCCCTATAAAATTTGCACCAGCTTCTGCTGCCACAGCAGCATCTCGAGCTGATGTGACTCCACAGATTTTAACTAAAGGTCTATTTACTTCACGTTCCTTATGACTGTGAGAAACTTTTACTGGCTGGTTTAGGACGCATGTTATTTTCATTTTCGGAAAGGTTTTGGTGATTGATGGATGCATCTGTCTCCCCTGTAGACCTGCAGATCAATGGCAAGGCTGACAAATAAGTTCACATTCCTGATGTTAAAAACAAACTCATCCAAAATTATCTTGCATGCATATAAAGATCTAGATCTTTTCTTTGCTTTATATCTCTTGAGCAGCAGAATCTAACTTGTGAAACTACCTAGTTCACTATTGAGGGAAGAAGAATAGCTATTGGCATCTATACCATTTTCATCATCAACAGTAATGCATAGGCCTCTTTTCAAGTATAGGTAGCTGAGGAACCCTATTTTATGCGTACGAGATGAGAAAAGAGACTGAAGAGGATCCAACATGTGCGCCTGTGTCTATTCCTTGTTGGACAAGCTCTCAGAATCCTCAACACTGACTTAGAAACTTCAGTAACTCAATATATTATTTTTCCAATGATAGACTCATTCAAGTGCTCATAGGTTTCCTCGTTTATTATTCCTTTTGGTCTTTTAGAGCACAATTAATTAGGTATAATACAGCACATTAAAACTCAAAAGGCAACATGATATCGATATATAAATTCCATACATATATAATATACTCGATTCAATGCAACTTACCCCAACATTTTACCATACATATCTAATACTTGATTCAATGAAACTTACCCCAACATTTTACCGTTGAAGTTTGCGGCACGCCAAGATAAACGGGCATCCTAAAGACTTCAGTTTGAAGTTGGGCACCTGTATTCATACATGAAAGAAGCAAGATTAGATTTTTAACACGTCACGTGTGTGTAATAACCAGTCCACCACAACGATAGGGCTCATAGAAGCTGAACTTATTTTGTGAGAAACGTTCCAAACGCGTAATTTGGCCAAAAGAAAATGAAATCAAGATTAGTTCTTCTTCTTTGAGGCATTCCAACAAGCACGTATAATGCAGCCACCCATAATTATCTATGCACGAAGCGATCTACAAATTCAAGTGTGTGTGTGTGTGTGTGTTTGTTATATATATGTATAGAGAGAAAGAAAGAGACCTGAGAATATTTCCAGTAAATTGTAGTGAAGAGCGGGTAGAAAGGGAAAATCATCATATACGAAAATTGCACAGGATGTATCTATAAAGTATAAATTCTTCAATTAGTGGACATGTAAAATGGGCCTGAAGAGTAATTTATCTGGGCCTCGATCGGATACGGTTCTAAAGAGGCTTGGGCTGACACCTCCGTACAATTGTAGGCCCAAACAAATATGGTCCGGGCAGAACTTTTTTCTTTCCTTTTCTTTTCTTTTCTTTTCTTTTTTTTTTTTTTGGGAAAAAAATTACATGAAACCATGTTTTCTAAGTTTTACTTTCATTAACCAGATATGAACTTTTTAAAAATAAAAAAATTAGATAGTCACATAAATGTAACTAACATGTTGAATATAGATTAAATCACAATTTGACATCATACTAAGTCACAATCACACAATTCATAACTCACAATTATTTATTAGAACACGTCACAGTCACGTAATACTTCAATTTTGAAAGTTTTTTACAAGATTGTTTATTTTGAAATCGTATTCTTACACTACTTTAATTATGAATTTTTTTTTCCATTTTGTGAAAGTTGTCATGCAAGATTTCAATACGATAAGGCCTCTTTACAAATCTCTACATGTCCATTACAAAGTAAATAATATAATAAACATATTTTAATAAATAAAAGAAGAAATGTAAGCATCCTTCGATTAAATCCTAAACCAAATGGTCCCAAAGGGTGCTTAAATTTCTTCTTC